CAGCCTGGTCGCCAGCAAACACCCAAATCCCCAGCACTTCGCCCACTGAGAGCCACCACCCCTGAGCCCTTCCCGGCACAAAACACACCAAGGCCGAGAGCAGGCAGAGCTCCAGCAAAGCAGATCCTGCATTTATTGCACTGGGACAGCAGCAGATTGCCAGGTCACAAAAGGAGCTAACACCAAGCGTGAGTGGCTGCCCATGGCTCGCCTGACACCCAGGCTGGCCCAGAGAGCCAAGAACAAGCATTTCCATTCACCCTCAGCACAGTGCCGTGGCTATGGGTCTGCCCAGGTGCCAGGCAGGCTCCTCTCCTTGGCAGCACAAATAAATGTCCTTCAGCCGAGCGCAGGGACCTGGGAGCTGCAGTTTGCCCTGGGCATCCTGCATCGCATCCCTCACCCTCAGCACGCTCTGGCCCCGCGGCACCACTAGGCTCTGGCTGCTTATCCAAGGCACTCAGCTTCAACTCAGAAAAGGGAGCTGTGGCAGCAATCCAACAGTGTCCTTCTCTAGGAGAAGTTTCCCTCAGGCACACAGTCTGGGCACAGCACTGTGGCTCCCAGTGGGGCCGGACCAGGCTGTGGGCACTGCCCTGGCACTGCGCAGCCCGCGGGGGCTCAGGGCCCCAGTCCCACTCAGGCCTGGCCAAGGCATCCTCAGCATCTCGTTCATCCCTCATCTTGGAGCCAGGACCCAGGAAAGAGCCGTCACTGCACCCCGGAGTCTCTCTGCCATTCCCAGGGTGATGGCTCTTCTCCCTCTGGCAATCCTCAGCATTAGCTTCCCACGTTTCCTCAGCTCTGGTGGAAGGAGAGAGTGCATACACTATGCCTTGTTACTCCCAGGAACACAGCTGTGTGCTGGGACACCCTCAGGCAAAAAGGCACCAGCAATGAGCTTTCTGGCTTATTGCAAAGGAAATAAAGATATCAATGTAGAGAACTCTTGTTATAACAGGGACATGTTAATAGCATGGAAGTGCCACAGAACACCAAACAGCTGGCACAGAGAGCAGCTTTTACCCCCTTGCTGAGGGTTTGTGTGGGTGCAGAGTCACTCTGGGAGTCACGAGTGCAGGGTCCCTCTGCAGCCACAGGGCATGAGCCAGGGCCCCTGGCAGTGCCCAGGAGGGAGCAGCAGGTGGGCACGGGGAGGCTCTGCCCCCCCAGAGGGGCTGGACCATCCTGCCTGCCCAGACCCACAGCCAGCGCTGGGCCACATCCCACCAGTGCTCACCCTGCCACACAGCACTGCCAGGTGCCAGCTCCAGGTGCTTTTGGCAGTGGCACCAGGACAGCTCAGCTAGTTGTTACGGCATGAGAAGGGATCTCTGTGCCTCTGAACATCTGCCGTGGAACAGGTAGGACACAGCCTGCCCTCTGTAAGCCCAGGAGTCTGCCTAAGCATGCAAGGACACTTTGTGCAAAGAGGGCAGAAACAAAGGACACTGTCGTTCCCCAAGCGCAAACACTGTCCCTGTCCAACCACAACCAGCCGCAGGAAAGCTGGAGAGCCCACACCAACACCAGCCCGTGTCAGTGTGTGCTCTATTCGTGCCACGAGCAGGGGACCTGTGCCCACTGGGAACACTTAGCCAGAAAGATCATTAAATGAGAAGTTCCCATGAAATGGGCACATTCTGACTCATCTCCTGCAGAGCATTCAGTGCCTTGGTGTGCAACGAGCGAGGACTCTCCCTTGGAGCATCGCACTAAATGGGGATCTTCAGCGGGACAAAATGGGCCATGCCTTTATTTTTGTGCAGAGAGAGGTATCTTTAGCAGACACTGAGCTATGCAGGGAGGGCTCAGCAGGCAGAGGGACAGTGTCCAGCGACGGGAGGTGGCTGTGAGGGTGCAGCTCTCTGGCTGGAGGTCCTGGCCCCTGCGGGTCCACTCAGTCGCCTCTCCCTCCCTCCCTCCCTCCCTCGTTCCCGAGCCCACCACAAAGGGCCTGCGACTCTATGGCAACGGCCGCGGATGCTGATGGCTCTGCAGACACAGCCACAGCCTCTCCAAGCAGAGCTGCTGCCCCGGCCCGCGCTCCAGGGCTCTGCTGGGCCACGGTGAGCACAGGTAGGCAAAGGTGGGCACAGGTCACTGCCCCAGGTACACCACATGGCACTCCCACACACCATCTGGTGATTCTTCTGGCACGGCACAGACTGAGGAAGAGTCCATCCTGCTCTTCCTAAAGGCAGCATCCCTCATCCTGCACCCTCTGTCATGGCACTGTGCACATCTGTGCACAAATGCTGCTCCTAGGGAGACACCAATGTGTGCCTTGTCCTCCGTATGCTGCCGTGGGCAGGAGCTGTTGCTCTGAGCTGTGGTCCAGACTGAGCCAGCCCAAGAGCCCCCACAGCTCTGAGCTGAGCCAGAGCCAGAGAACCCAGAGTGGGACATGGTCAGCTCCCAGCTGGGACACCAAGGGGGTCCCTCCCCAGGGCTTGGCCATCATGAAGGGAACCTCAGAGACAGTGTCTATGGGACCATGAAGGTGGTGACATTCTCTTTGCTTTATTAAAGCAAAAGTAGACAAGAAAACGCAGAAGAAAACACAAAGCACAAAGATACATGGCAGGAGCTGGACTTTGGTATTTCTTAAGCTTCTTCTTCCCCATTCCTGCAGCAGTCCATGAAAATCCACGTGGAAACAGCATTAATTCCCCTGCCAAATACACCCGCAGCTGCTGCAGGTCCTGGGTCCTACATCCCCAGGTAATTACATCATAAAACCCCAACTTTTGAATTTAAAAGTTGCAGAAGTTCACCTTGCTGCTGAAGAGACAGAGAACATGACCCCAGTGCTCCCCTTGTGCCCAGTTGCCCCTCTGCCCTGGGCCAGGGGTGCTGCCCATGAGCTCCTGCCCCCTCAGCATCTCCCACACGTGGCACACGGTGGCAGGAGAAACACAGGCAGTATCCTCCCCCTGCTCACCCACTCCGCACTCTCACAATGCTTCCACCAGCAAAGCAGCATGGGCAAATCCCTGTTAGGTCTGGTCTCCTCCCAGTCTCCCAGCACAGGACACCTCCACACTGATCAACCAAGGGAAACCCTCACTGCCATGAGCCTGTGTGAAGCACAAAGCTCTCCCAGGGGCTGCTCCGACCGCGCAGAGCCATCCTGAGCGGTGACAGGGATCGGGCATCACCTCCCAGCTGCTCCCTGAGCTCTGCTGAAAAGGCCAGGGAATGTTCTAGAAGACAGGGATGCACCAGCAGGAGCTTCTTACCAGTTTGTTTGCAAATATCCATAGCTCACACCAGCACTGAAAACATCGACAGCTCTCTGGCACGGGAGAGCCTCCCAGAGCAGCATCCCAGCCAGGAAGGTCACCTATGGATCCTGCTGCCACCTACATGAGGGGATTTCAGGAGGAGGAGCAGGATCAGAGCTGTATCTAGAGAGGGAAGGAAAACCTGTAATGAA